TTTATAAAAACTTTTTTTTACATTTTTTCTAAAAATCGAAATTATTTTCATTATATCTCAAAAAGAATAAAAGATACGTATAAAAGCATATAGATAAAAATCAAGGAGATCTTTCTGGCTTATTATTGTTTTTTATACCCTTTTTTCCTCTCTGTTTACTGCACTAATAGACATATTTCATATTCAAAATTTAAAATGAGATAATGTGCATTTAATTAAAAATATATCAAGAAATTTGACGGATTAAATTTAACAATATTAGATATGAAAATAACTTCATACGTAATATTATCAATTCATATTTAAACCGATAGATAGTTCATGGCTTTTTTCTTACTCGATCGATCGATATCTCATACTTAAATGTTTAAATTATGAGTATTAAAACAATAAGTAGCGTATGTATATATATGTATGTATATATATAATCAATTGTTAATAGTTTTATAGTTTATAAATCAGAACTTATTTTAAAATTGAGTTTAATTTTTAATAATATCAATTTTTGATATTTTAGATTTTTTTTTACAGGATAACAGATCACAGCAACACATTTCAATTACTTCAGTCATTCACATACACTTATTGAAATGATATTTGTGTGTAAGTATTTTTAATTAAAGAAATATTTGTTAGTGCATTTTTTATAACCCAGCAATATGAGTTATTTGCACTAATATGTTTTCACTGAAGTCATTTATTCATTGTATGTATATTGTATATTGAAGTTTTTATTGAAGTATTTATTCATTTTCATGATAAGAGTAGTAAAAGTAAATGTAAAGATAAGAGTAGTCGACCGATTTTAGAAAATTTAAATTCATAGTTCAAAAAAAGTCTCCAATCTTGAAAACTTGGGGCAATTGTGTCATTGTTTTTGATTGTGGTCCAAAAAATGTTCTTCACGACTATAGTTACAAAGTTTAAATGAATAAAATTACTAAAAATTTACCACAATAACAGAAAAATGGTCACTTTTAAATTAAACGTTAAAATCAAAGCTATGATGAAAATAATTTTAACGTTTACCACTTCTGCGCTAAATTATTGCGAATTTTACTTTGTTATTGTAATTGTTAGTTTTTTGTAAGTGTTATAATTAATTTTTAAATATATTTTTATTGATAATGATTCAAAAATATTTAAATATGCTGAAAAAGTACTTGAGCAAATCAACAAACAATCTCGTAGCAAAAGGGTTAATTGAGTAAGAATAGTTAACATTATTAATAAATTATATATGTGTACATAAGTATAGTAGATAAAATGTGTGAAGAATTTTATCAAAACCCAAAAAACCTTTAAATCTCTAACAACTCAATATCTAAAATACGATAGAAAGTATTCATTTACTTTTACTAGGTAACGAATGAAATCATTCAAATTCATTTTGGATTATATTCTTAATTAAACTCATAATATTTTACTAAAATATTTTAATTATCATCTCAGGGGCGTCCATTAATCACGTTAGGTTTTTAGGGGGAGGGGGGTTAGACAAAAAATCACGAATATCACATGGGTGAAAGTGGGGTATAGTAAGATATCACGTGCATTTATTTTTTACGTGGATTTTTTAAAAAATTGAAATATTTTCAAATATTTCAATTATTTCACGTAATTAAAAATACACGTGATGTTGTGGGAGAGCGGGGGTAATTTTGAATATCACCGTGTATCACCAAGGGGAGGAGGGGTCCAAAACCCTCAAAAACTCGCCCACGTGATTAATGAACGCCCCCTCACATAAAATATACATGATTACTGTTTAGAATAAAATTTAATACTTTTATATTATTAATAAATAAAAAGTCATCGATCGAAGTGTTGATTATTCATCTTCATAAACATTCAAACTCATTTATTGGTATTTCGGTACATTAGCACTTAAAAAATTGATCGTAATGATTGTTAATGTTTACAGTACTAGAAAATATTACAGTAATGACTAATCGCTGTAAATGTTCATTATATTTTGTTTAAATAAACAAAATATATGCATGCATGAATAATATTGTTTTTAATTCAGTCTTATATTGTTATACTTTTAAACTCATATATATATATATATATATATATATATATATATAAATATATATGTGCGTGTGTATGTATGTATATACAAAAAAATTTAAAAATACAAATCAGAACAAACAATGCTCACAGGATAGAAAACTTAGATAATCTTCAGCATAGCATGGTCTATAACTCGAGTATCATACATTTTGAATCTAATATATTAAAAAGAACATTTAGCGAGGGTTGTCTAATATCGATATGCAATAAATCCATTAAAAAACATTAATTCGCTTTTTACAAGATATTTCTCGACCAATTTTCAAACATTCAAAACTGAATGAAGCGTGTCCTTTTTTTATTATTTTCCGAAACCATATGTTTACCATTTTACACATTTAAAAAGAAAATACAATTTGTAAATACAATTCGTTCAGTACTTAGCCTTATAACAACTATGTACACATATATAGGTTTTCAACTCAAAATCACATTTATTTTTAAATATTTAAACTCTTGATAGCTTGGTGTTACATTTTGTGTTAATTAGTGTAGTGTAGTGTTAATTTGTTTTTGAATGAAAGTACCTTTATGTAAGTCCAATATTTGAATTTATTTTCTTTTTTAAATCAATTATAAAAAACTTTCTAGTTGTTTCACTGAATGACGGCCTCGATGCAGACCGAAACGTATGGATAATAAAGCTGATTTCCTAATTGCTTTAGTTTTTTTACATGGCGCCCAAATCAACACTATATTTATATATATATATATATATATATATATATATATATATATATACTAGCAAACCCGACGAACTCCGTTTCGCCACTAGATGGTTTCGTGAGAAAGATGAATAAATTTTTTGTTTGTTTTATATTTGAAAAGGAAAAATATGATTTTATTACACAACAGTAATGAATTTATTTCGTTTACAAAAATGAAGTGTTTTTAGTTAAACTTCTCTAAGTGAATGAAATTGAATCCGCAAATTATCCGTTTCATTGAAGTGCTCTTTGGTAAACCACATTTTTTGGTTTTGTAAACCACTTTTTTTCCCAACTCGTGAAAAGGCAACGTATTACTGCCCATGTGAAAAACAATGATTTTCTAAATAATCAATTTGAAATTTATCCCGCACACACTAAGCGATTGGCCTTGCGACTTGTTAATTGTCATTGCAAACGCAAGGCGAACTGGAAATTGCAATCGTTTGAAGTCAAACGGAACCAGTCGGAATCATTGGTATGTCACCAAATCGCCAGCAATTTGTGCAAGAATTGCTCGTTGACTTAACCAAGCATAATACTAAATCTCACAAATGCCTTTATTCGAATTTTTAATTACGGTGCGTGAAGTTCCAGCAATTTGCATTAAGGCACAATGCCATGCATCACTAATTTTCTCAGCTATAAATCTTTCCAACAAATGCAAAATTGTCGAAATCGGTTTGCGCGTTCTGGAGTTATATCGTCAGGAAAAAAAACCCGACTTATTTTTATATATATGTAGATATATGATATTTTTTTCGGATGATTATAAATATGTTGATGCAACAATAAACTTTTTGAACAGACATCTATCCAGATACAAAGATAAAGAAAACTAAATTTTGTTTTTTAAAAGTGAATTTAAGGGTCCATACGTTTCGAGTCTCAAATTGACTCTTCATAACTGTCTGTTATTTGTCATATAACTGTGGTAGTTGTGGTTTGTCCTTTGAGATGTGAGGTTCAAATTTATTATATTTCTTCTTAATTAATTTTATAAATACAATTCATATTTATTTTTATTATTTTAACATGTCTCCAAGGAACAATTTTTATATGTAACGTTTTCGTTTAGTGTTTAGTGCATATTTACTTGTCTTGTTCTATTGCCACTGAAGAAGAGTCAAATTGGGACTCGAAACGTATTTAAATTCACTTTTACTAACCCAAATTTAGTTTTTTTTATCCTCGTATCTGGATGGACGCCTGTTTAAAAAGTGTATAGTCTTATCAACATATATATATATATATATATATATATATATATACATACATACAAACATACATACATACATGTTCACGATATATGTACAAAATAATTGATAAAACCGCTATAGATTCTGCTATCACAAATTACATAATAGAGTGGTCTCCACAAACTAAGACCGCAAATAAAAGCTGTGGGTTTGTGCTGGATTCACACGAATGTACATCCATAGATTAATTTAATATTGACACACATTATTTTGAAAATTAGCTATTGCAATTGCAAAGTTCTTAATGATATTCCAAATTAACAATATAATTTAACTAAACTGTAACTAAATGGAATTAAAAATTAGTTGTAATTTCCAAAATGTAAACCTGGTAATGACAACTATGCGGAAACAAATAATTAGAATATAAAATTTGTAGATTTAATTATGTTAAAGTATATAAGCCAATATTTTTTGTGGCCAAGACACAAGTACATAAAGCACAGTTGAAATAGCAATAAAAGAGAAACTATTAACATCAAAAAACTTTAAATAAAGTGCTATAAATTTATGTCATAACATATATCAACACATTATGTATTACTATTTTTCATCAAGACTCAAATGTTCTAACTGTTGAAGAGGAATTTAAAAAATATTGCTCAAAATTAAACAAAAAATATTATTTCATCCAAATAAATTAGCTGCACGATTGTATGATCATTCACCCTTTTACATTTGAAACAAAAATAATGGAATTAATCTAATAGTTTTAAGTTAGTTTATACTGTATTATTTAATTTAATTTCTTTTTTAATTTTTATTTTTATTTTCTTTTTTTTATAATATTTCATCCCAAAGAAAAATATGTTAAAATTACATTGATATAAGTAGTAGACAAGTAGTAAATATAATTATAATTTACCACCTCAATTATTTTAGTAAAGTACATTAATTAATGTCTTTATACGACAGCTAATAATTTATATTATAATAAAAAATAATTATTTACATTGCAAATACTTTTATATGCATAACATAGAAATAAATCTAAATAAAGACTTATTCAAATATCAAAAAAGATAAATTAAAGCAGAAATCAAATTGAAAGAAGTAGGAAAAAATAGATTTTGAATAAATATATAGTAATTTACTTTATAATGCTTTTACTCATTTTATGTAGTAACCCTGATCAATCAATATGCTAAATAATGACGTGTTTGAAAAGATCGCATTTTTTATATTATTAAACCAATATCTGCAATAGAAAATGCGTTTTCACATTATTATTATACTTTTTACATAACTTTTCAAAAATAGTGATTCCATCTCGCTCGTTTTATTTACCCGAACGATTTGTGCAATATATGCATTAGAAAGTTTGGACATATAATATTGCTACGATTATTTTACTGTTCAATAAATTTCAATTAAAATATTCAATTATTTTATAAATGCCGAATAAATTAATGTATACAGAAAAATCGAATGTGCTCATTCAAGTCATGCTGAACTCAATGACGTTTATGACCTAGAAACATAATATTCGGAATGAAAAATCGTCACACCCCTAGCCAAATGCTATAAAACGTCTGCTTGAATTCATGTTATTTATTTTTCACAAAAACAATAAGAAATGAACTTTAGGTTATTGTATGATCAAATTAGACACTTGTTCCTACTGAAAAATTCATCGAGCATGACTCCATATATTTGCAATATCAACTCACCTGGGTTGTAAGAAGGCATTATTAAAACATTTTATACTATAAAATCACTTTACACACTGCACAAGTATTACTAAACATATTTTTATTGATAGTTTACCACCACTATTACAGCACTAAGAATAATTTTTTTTAGTGTCATCAAATAATAATTTGATGTATTTTCTAAAGGGGCTCATTGTTGCAGTATCACATTCTGTATTTGCACTTAATTCAAACTGAAGCACAATGACTACATGCAATCTGACATAAACATTATGTTAAACAGCAAATGAGCAAAGCCCCGAAGAATAACACAGTCGCCATTTGTATATATATTTCAAAATAGTTCATTGACAAGTCACAGAATTTTAGAAATTGTTTGTCAATAAATCAGTGCTGCTAACATTACAACAATTAACTGACAGATATATGCTCATAGTAGGTACGCTAGTGGAAACGGCGAACTTATTGAAAAGAGCAACATAAAAACCAAACATCTAAACATATTTCATTTACAAAATAAGAAATATATTATATATTTGTTATATTTTAAGTATTAGGAAATGTGACTAAAAACAAATAACTAGGGTGCATGGCATCTCTTTTTAAGGTATCAATTTTATTGTATACTTTTATTTTTTATAACTATAAACTATAATATTACTGCTTTTTTTCTTTTTCTAAGGATATATATATCCTTATTCTGAATTATAATAATGTCATAATATAAGTTTATCATATTAGCAAAATTACTAGCTTCCTTTACATCTATTTTACTTACATTTATGGACTGAATTTATTTATCCAAAATAATAAATAGTAATTTAAAATTAAAACCATACAACCTATGGCAATTTTAATTATATTAAAATTGATTTATCGCTTGAAAGTTGTGATTTTAATTAACAAAACTAGCATATTGGTATTAAAAATTAAATTAATTTAAGTATTAGTAATAATAGATTCAGAATATATTTTACACATTAATATCCTGTGGTCACCAACTCCTCGCTATTTTTCTTCTCAATTTAGTGAGGTTATTTTACATCGTTTCTGATATTTGATTTTGACGGGTACAATTTATAGAATTTGTGTGCTATGCCAATATTGAATTAATAATTTTAAATAGTTATATTAGTATTAAAGTTATAGCATATATTTATAATAGGAAGGTTAAATATAAACATTAATATTATTTTGTTTCGTTTGAGATTACTATGAGTAGTCATGATAATAGATATGAAAAAATCAAATTTTTGGGAGAAGGACAGGTTTGTTAATTATTTACCATCTTTATGCTTTCTTATAACACTTTATAATACTACCTATCTTACATTACAATACCAATTCAAGATACTTTTCTAGAAATATAATGCTTTAAGCAACAGTTATTCTCTACATCAAATGCAAAATTTGTGCAAAAATTGTGAAAATCACAAGCACATTAAGAATAGTTGACCCTAATGCTTACTAATATGTAATCAGCATCAAGGAAAAAATTAGTCATTAATAATGTATGGTATTAGATTTGAAATCATAAGTGGGCAATTATGAGACTCCTAGCTTTTTTTAAATATATATTCCTTTAATACCAACATGCACCTTATATTATTCATATAAAAAAAAATGTATTAAAATTTTAAATATGAATACATTACACCTATTTCTCAGCTAAGACCCCTTTTTACTCGTGCCCTTGCTCAAGCTCAAGCTCCAATCACAAAATCAAATATTTAAAATATCATATTAAAAGATATTGACTTGAGAGTACAATATGTCTCATTTTTACTCGATTCTCTTATTTTTTTCTCAGTTTGCCACAGTATATCAATCCAGAGATACAAGAGATGATTCCATAGTAGCCATTAAAAAAATTAAATTAGGATCGAGAGCTGAAGCCAAAGATGGTATCAACAGGACAGCTCTTAGAGAAATAAAATTATTACAGGAACTGAGACATGAAAACATCATTGGTCTATTAGGTTTGAGAATTATTTGAGAGCATTTTTAGTAGCTCTCAATAACAATCATTTTGTTTAATATAATTTTATATATATTTTTTAAATGATAATTTAATTCCAGATTCATTTGGTCATGACTCAGAAGTATCTCTAGTATTTGATTTTATGGATACTGATTTAGAAGTAATAATTAAAGATACGCGAATTGTTCTTACACCAGCTCATATTAAATCATATATACTTCAAACATTTTTAGGTATTCAGTTTTTTCATTGTAATATTTAGAGCAAAATTAATTTTTGTCCCCATTTTTAGGTCTTGAATATTTACATTACAACTGGATTTTACATAGAGATCTGAAACCAAATAATTTATTAGTTAATCGTATTGGTATTTTGAAAATAGGGGATTTTGGTTTAGCAAAATTTTTTGGATCACCTTCTAGAGTCAATACCCATCAAGTGGTAACACGCTGGTATAGGTGCTTTGCATTTTTTTAAATCTTAATCTTTTAAAGAATTATTATTTTCATACAAAATTACTTTTAAAGAGCCCCTGAACTCTTGTATGGGGCAAGACAATATGGAGTTGGTATAGATCTGTGGGCAGTAGGCTGCATTCTAGCTGAATTACTACTCCGTGTTCCATTTTTACCAGGTGAAAGTGATTTAGATCAGCTTACGAGAATATTTCAAGTTTTGGGCACACCAACAGAGGAAGATTGGCCTGTAATTAATAATATACAATACAGATCAAGTATTTCCTAAATACAATCCTTTCATATTTTTAGGGTGTATCAACTCTGCCTGATTTTATACAGTTTAAAACATTTGTTCCTACTCCATTAAGACATATATTTTCTGCTGCTGGCGATGATTTGCTAGATCTTATCAGCAAACTGTTATCTATGTATCCAATTAAGCGTGGTAATTGCACAGAGATTCTGAAAATGTCATATTTCAGGTATTTATTTTATTAATTAGTATATCAATTAAAAATCACATTAATTAGTTTTGGTCAAACCTTAGACGAATTGTTTCTTTCTAATAACAGCTAAATAGCTTTTGCTGATTCTGGAAGTATAAAAACTATTTAGAAATTGGTATTTCTTGTTATTATTAATTAGTGGTGAATGCAATTTGTTCAACTGACTTGAACAAATGTTTTTTGCAATTCACAAAGAAAATATTTCGATTTTTGATTTGAATATTTTTTAACTCAACACTTACATGAATTGGATTTCCTAATCCATAATTCTTTATTGAATTCTCCTTATTTTAATTATTTTAGCAACAAACCCGCACCAACAATAGGAAGCAAATTGCCACTTCCATCTTCATTTGATAAAATTCAAGAAGATAAACCAAGTTTAAAACGTAAGATGCTTGAGAATATTGATGGAGGTACATTAGCCAAAAAACTTCAGTTTTAGTTCTATAATCTGACTGAACTATTAAATGATACCAGTTTAGAATTTTTGTTATGTACATTTATTTCATTTTATTTATAATAAAATACTAAAACTATTTTCATATAATCTCTTTTATATAAATATTTGTCTGTGTTAAGTACATTATATGTATATTTTTCTCAAGTGCAAAAATAAATATATGAATACACTTATAATAAATTCACAACTTGGGATATGTTCAGGCAAGCATATTTTCACAAAATTGTGATTTTAGAAATGTTAAATACCAAATTATCGACAGTGAACTATATTTTAAGTGTATTTGCAAAGATTAATTCATATATCTATTTTATTCCAATCCCGTTACACAATATAAAGATCAATTCATTATAACATATACTTTTGAGAATACAAAAAATAGAAAATTATTCATAGAATAATTTACAAATATACTTTTATATTATTTATTAATAAAAGTAGTGAATACTGATAACAAATGTCAATATTTGAATAAATTTTTCAATATTTAACCACTTTAATAAATTTGTTTTGTGACCAATGATATCTAAAGATTATTTTACTAATATATAAATAAATCTGCATCAATATATAACACATTCAAGTAATATTTGTATTTAAAATGTAAATTTAAACAATATTGTGCAAGTTTGGGTATTGCATTTTGCAACATATTCTTGATCCTGTGAAAATAAATGCTCAAAAATATGTAAATTATGCTATTCGTAAGTTGTAAATGTAATGTAGTACTACGTAGTAGTAAGATTTCAAGAAGAATGATCTTCTAAACTTATCAGTTTTAACAGTTATATTAAATATATTAATTTTATTTTATTACACTATTGTAAAATAACATTTTATATAAAATCTCTCTGTACAAATATGCATTGAATCAATAACACTTTTAATCATATTCGTACATTTATTCTTATTACAAAATTCATACAAAAATTATATATATATGTAGAAATATCTTGCACATATTTACACATTGCACTATACCTTCTAATATTCACAAGTTTATTGTATCGAGATCTTGACATGGTGCTCTAGGTTCTTTAGGTGAATTTGTATTGCCTTTTCTACCACTCAGCGTCGGAAAACCAAAATCAGATGGTAATTTCTTCATTATTTTACCAGAAGTAATTAGTCGTCCAAATCCTTCTTGGTGTGCGAATGCATACCCTGATCGAATAGATCTTCTTACTTTTCTTGCAGAAGGCGTTCTCAGCACATCTGTACTGTGTCTTGATTTTATTTGTGCTAATCTTTGCTTCATTCTTATCTGCAAGCAAACAATAAAATATAAAATTAAATAAATTGCCATAAATTTATTAACCTATTTTAAATTTTTTTATTCTTTTACTTTAGTATCTAATTGTAGGTAATTTTTTTAAAAATAGGTAATACTAATTTTTTTGTAAATTATTTTTTGAAAGAGAATAAAGTCACATTTAAATCAAATCCCAGTGAAATTATATATATATATATATAAGTAACACAAAAAATTTATTACAATCTTCTTAGCATTGATAAATAGAGATATATAAGTAGTTCATATTAAAAAATGTAATATGAACAGTTATTTTTAAATCCAAGAAAATGTCCAGTTTTTTTAAAATATGAATAAAAGTTTTGCCTTTTCTAGATTATCATTTCAACTAAACTTATTTACCTTTTCTGTTAAATTAGGAAAAACATCAACAAAGTAGAATCGCCAAGCTAGAACAGGTACAGTGGTTGATATTACTGTTAAAAGTGTAGTAAACCAAAATTGTGATTCTTGCATAGCTTGCGTTAAAGAACCTACATATGGACCTCCAATAACATAGTTATAAAAAAAATCTAAAATAAAATATGATAACAAAGAACCCCAGGTAGTAATATGATTGAACACAGTCCAATATGATGTATCCAAGGCAATCTAAAAGATTAAAAGTAATTAGTTCAATTTATGCAAAACTTTAAATAGTTTGTTAAATAATTAATAAATTTGAACTACTGTTGTAATTATTGTAATTGTAATTTATTTTTACAAACCTGTGCAGTATTTTCTATCACTAATATTGAAGCAACCACACTTCCTAATAGCATATGATCACTAAGAATTAAACCACTGGGTGAAACACCATCCTTGTATGTTCCTGAGATAATATATTATTTAAAACAAATGTAAAATAACATATGATATATCATCAATCATAAAATACTAATCACCATAAGGTATTAAGAAGAGAAGAAGTGATGAAAAGCATCCCTGTAGAGCACTCTTCATAAATTCCGATTTATTAAATAATGCACTTGTCAGTCCTGGAGTATATAACTTAGGAAATATTATTGCATTTTTATCCGAAACATCTTGATCAAATATACCAAGAGCTAGTACTGGCAGCGAAGTATAAAATAAGTTATAGACCGATATATACATTTCATCAAATACAGTCTAAAAGATAAGAATACATATCATGGTTGTGCAAAATCGAGATTAAATTTAAATATTTGTGTATGTACTTACTTGCGCACTAAATCCACAGAAGAAAGCAAACCAGATATGGCATAAAGTGAATGCAAAATTTTTATAGAAAAAATACCTGAGAAATTTGCACATTCGATAATATGACCATCGGCCATGAACTAATAATAATCTTTCTAAGAATCTGAATTGTGCTATTGAATAATCACTTGCTAAAACAGCTTGCATGCCTTCTTGGCCAGAGATACCCACACCAATGTGCGCAGCTAAAAATGTTAAACCATTTATTAATTTGAATTAATAAATTAATAATCAGATCATACCTTTAATCATAGATACATCGTTGGCACCATCCCCTATGGCCAAAGTAACTGCATTCTTTGTTCTCTTGATGAGTTCAACAACCAG